ACATATCATATTGGCTAATCAACTTGATCTTATGCTCGTAAACCAGCAGGTTACAGTTTATTGATTCCATAGAAGTGTTGCATATGACGTCATATTCATTTTTCTATTAGATCATCTATTACGAAATTGAATACTAATAATGAATTAAGAAGGAATATGAAGCAAGATTAACATAATCATTTACAAATCGAATAGATATCAAATCAATAGATCGAAACGCAACAATAATTCTAAGTGAATTATGTAAAATAACATAATCAGATGTTATTTGATCGAAAGATACATTATTCATATTAGTTCTCGAAGAATATAGAATTGGTCTGTAAAAAAAAAAATAAATGCTGCCTTATTTAGATGATTTATCACGAATAATGAAAGAAAAGAGTTATTGGAAACTCAAAATCTTATGAAGAACGAGAAAAAAAAAACGAACATTTGCATTGTTGTTGTTTTTAGTATTTAATTCATAAAGATTAGCAATATGAAGAGACGATAATCAAATTTGTAATTATTTTGAAGAGTATACATAAAAACTTCTTCTTATATTTAACGTTAATATCAATATGTGTTTGTACATGTAACTAATCACATGCTAATTTAATATGCTGTGTCTTTTTACCTTATATTATCAAGAATATAATTATCTTTATCATCATTCGTATAGAATACAATGAGTTAAAAATTTTTCTTTTGATTCTAAGTATGTTCAAGCTATTGTGACAGATCTATAGTGTAGAATTTGAACAGTTGTTTGTCTTCATTTTAAATAATGACTTACCGAGACACTAAAAAATTGACTACAATGGTATTCACATAAAATATCCTTTCACCATTTGACCCAGTATCCCCTATCATCAATATTAACTTAAGTGAACATTATATGTCTTCTAAAACATATCTTTTCTTATTCTGTATATAAGAATAATATTTTTTTTTTTACACTACTAGAATTTGCAATGCGTATAGCATAACAAGTATATGTGTGTCAACAAAGTTGGACATACAATAACAATAACATTCATTCGATAAGAATTGTAACAAATTCAGAAACCTTAGCGTTGTATCACCTTTATTAAAGATATTTGTTCAAAAAATAAATTTGAAAATACAATAGAAAAATTCAAATGTAGCCAACTATTATCAATAATTCAATTGACAATTGATCAAGCAAAAAATCAAATATTTCTATTATAAAATATCATATTTTCATTTTCAACTACTAGAAGAATTTAGTTTGTAACATATGAACTTTTTTTTTTTTTGTTTACTGAATACGATAGGTTGTATAAATATAATTGAAAAGAAGGACATATATATTATATAAATCTTCTTATAAAGAAATGTTTTTAGTATTGTTCTTTACATTTGAAGTATCTCTCTTTTTTTTTGACTGTTCTTACAACACACAATACTTCACAGGTTTGTCTTTGAAAGAACAAAAAAAAAAAAAAACGGCATGTGGTCATGAGTTCGAACATAATACTTCTATGTTGCTCTTGGCTTTTTATTACACATACATTTTTTTTTTCTTTTACTTTTGAATATAGTTACTTCTTTCGATTATGTCAGATAAAACATGTCTATGATAAATGATTAACTTCATTTTAGTTCAGCATCTCTCAATGTAAGATGGAATATTAATCCATCTATATTTTATCTGATCCAATGCTATAAGACAAGGAATTTTATTCATTTACATCTGAATGATATTAATAAATTTGTAAGTGAATATATATATATCAGAAATTTTAATTTCTTTTTTTCCTTGATTATCTAACTTTATTTATATGAATGTTTATTTATTTACAGCATTCAAGCACATATCCATATGTGTGGACAAATGTAAAAACAAAGTGAGTTATAATGAATTTATATTTTACTTAATATCCTTCTTTGAGTCTGATATTAATTAATAATAATAATTCATTTGTTTTTTTTTTTAGATTTTCGATTTCGGTTGGTATCTCAGATTAATAGTATATTTTATTTTTAATGTTTTATATTGATTTGATAAGTTTTAAATGATAATTATAGAAACCAGCGTTTCATTGGGATGGTTCGCCTCATTATATTTCCTTCTTTGGTTCCGGAAAAGGCCTTCAAAAAAATTTTTGATCAAGTGAATCCTTACGTAAATATATCGATTTTTCATTAATTATTTAACCTCTGATTTTAATTAGACGATTTCTTTTTGTCAAATAGCAACACTTATTTTTTTTCAATTTTTCTTCATTGGTTTGTTAATCTCCTCGTGGAGTTTTAGGACATCAATTGTCATTCTTTTCAACAGTGTTCTTTTCTTTTGAGGAGATTTTTTATCACTTCTTATTTTTCATATTGAATTTTTTTTTTGTATGTAAACAAGATTACAACATCTATTTTGCATACCATAGAACAACATTGAAGTGTCGAACGTTTGTTTTCATTAATTGCATATTTATATATATTACAAATTTTTGTTCGCTTCGTTTTATGTAAATCACCCGTTTCATGAAATAAAAAGAAATCAAGTTTAAGAATTTAATATTTAATTTCTAAGATTTTTTATATGCTTTATTTATATATATAATTTAAGTAATGATTCATTATTATAAACTTGTTTGAGTTCAAAAAACGTTCAATTTATTATCAAATAAGTTGAAAAAGTAATTTATTCTGTGGATTGAATAAAGTATAAAACAAAAGTAGATTAAGATATAAAGTTTCATGCTTTCATTAGTTGTAGGAAGGATTATAAAACAATTATTCGTATACAAAAATTTTATGGTCTCAATTTTTCAGTTCAATTGATTATTTTCATTATGAAAAACATTGTCAATTTTTTTTTTGAGTCTATTTAAATAAAATATTATCAAGAAATAGTTCATTATGTGATAATAAACAGTCAAAACTATATTTAGCATCAATTTTTTATCCTTAGTCATTTCGTTATATTATTTTAGAATTTTATTCGACAATAATACTAATTCCTTGGAATGTATAGTTGCTTGATAATGAAATGCAATTTTCATTACTATATTTTTATTAACTTAATATCACAGTGAAACATATTAATATGTTATATACATGGTAATATATTGTCATTCGTCATTTTTTTAAAGTTGTATTGATACTGCTCATTCTCTACGAAGTATTATATGTTAATATAGACTTTTCTTCTCATGATACCTGCTAGGGAATACTGAAAATGAACATTATCTTTTGTCAATGAATGCTGATTTTTTGAGACTAAAAATATGATTTCATTTATAAAATCAAACTACTACACATATGAAGCATTTGTTATCCTATATCCAACACGTTCAACTAAATACAATTATATAAGTATCAGTAGACTAAGATTTCTCAGCATAGTTAATCATAGCAGATAATCCAGAAGACTTGTCTTATTTTGTATAAGAAACGTTTCTGTATTAATTAATGTATTTGTAAAACTATGTAATTCTTACAGAAAAAAATGTAATAGAGTAAAATCTTCAAAATGAGTATAAATTGACCTTGTTAGATCGTTTAAAAGAAAGAAAGTTATAGATATAGATACGTCTATTACATGTCAAAGGAAACAACTATTGAAATATTGCAAGGAAAATAATAGACTACTTGTAACTCAAATAATTATTTCATATATGTGAATCCATTTTAGAATTCTGTTAAAATTAAATCAATCTCTTAGATGTTCATTAAATATACACAATATCGTGTATTAGGTTTTTTTTGATGTGACAGAAGAAAAAAACACTTGAACAAAAAACAACACTGTGAAAGAATTATGAAGAAAAATAAAGCCAATGTTAACAAGGGGATCAATAGAAACTTGAATACTGCATATTACAACAAGAAGCATTAAAATAGAAAGGCTTAGAGAAGCCGGCAAAAAATGAATTTATCTAAAAAAAAACGATCAAAGTGAAACCATAGTAGTTTTCCAATTGCAATAGTCATTGTCAAGGTTAGAATTCCTTTCTGTTAGAGAAAGAACTATTGCACGATATTGTGTATATTCAATGAACGTCTAAGATATTTAATGAATTATTAATAAATTCTAAAGTGGGTCTACATATGTGAATTAATTATTTGAATTACAAGTAGCCCATTATTTTCTTTGTAATGTTTCAAATATTTTAATAGTCGTTTCCTTTGAAATGTAATAGATGTGTCTATGTCTATAATTTTCTTTCTTAAATGACTTAACAAGGTCAATTTATACTCATTGTAAAGACTGTATTTTATTGTATGTTTTTTTTCTGTAAAAATGATGTAGTGATAGAAATACATTAATTAGTATAGAAACATTTCTTACATAAAATGAGATAGAACTTCTCGATTACTGTTTATTAAATACTATGTGTTAAAAAAATTCTAGTTCACAAAATAATTGTTTAACATTGCAAAAAAAGTTCGAATCAGAATACGAATACAATTTTTCTTATGAAGACTACTACTCAAATAGCATATTAGGAAATATTTCTTATGTTTGTAACTATGAATGAAAGATTTAAGCTAATATGAACATTATTTGAATATAAATTAGTACTTAAAATGGATCTACATTAAGCCATAAATGATTGAAGCGAAGATCACATAATTCTTTCATTATCAGTTGCATTGGAAAATCTCGATCATTTAATAGAATAATTATGAGTTTTCTTTTTTTAATAAACTGATTTTGAAGTAATCATAAGTTATCGTGATTTGTATGCATAATAGTTATTAACATATATATATATTTCAAATAATGAAATGAATAATTTAAATGAAAGTTATTTACTGAAATCGATCTTGTAGTCAGTGAAGAACAAGATATCACTTTAATATTGTACTTGTAGATATATAATTAGTATGGTAGAACTATTTAAAATAGAATAAATTATTCTTTTCTCACAACGTTTTTTTGGTCAGTTTAACTGTTCAGGAATATTTTTTTAATGTCTGGTTTTTTGCTGTTTTATTTTCATATGTTTTGATAAAATAACTTTTACTTATAGAGTTAATTTATTAGATTATTCAACATGTGCTGTGACTGGTGGAGGTGGTGGTGATTGATATATTGATGGGAGATTGCCAGTTGCTACTTCGTAAGATGGAGGTGGAGCTTCATATATACTAGGAAATACTTGAGATTGTGGTGCGACACCAACATTATTCATAGATCGCATATAAATGACTCGCACTGAACCTCGAAGAGCCTGTAGTTGATGGGAACTTGTAATACTTGTCGGATTCGAATTAATGCAACTAACATGAACATGTCGTTGATGTTGTTGAGAATGCATATAACAACTTAAACATGCAACGAAACACAGCATTAAACTAATGACAATAAAGGCAATAATAGCTGGTGGAAGACTTGTTGAATATTCGTATGAGCCATGACCACGTCCTGATGTTTGATTGTCTGCCAGAAAAAGAGAAAAGAAATGGAAATAGTTATATTTTTTCAGAAATTTGACTTATAAGGATAAAACCATCAAGAATATATGCTACAGAAACTTTTTTCGGTGTCAAAATGAAGAAAGAGAAAATTTTCATATTTCTTTTAAGCATTATTTTTAATATATATATATACCTAAATAATCATAGTTGCAAAAGATATTTGCCGTTGTAAAACTAAGCAGAATAATGAAAAAATATATGCAATTAATTGATGATGTAAACATTAGTATATACAAGAAGAAGAACACTGCTGTCTTGTTTAGTTCTCCCACTAGAAAAAGGACATTTATCATTCTCTTGTCTAAATAATACTAAAGATAATATCATGTTACAGACAGATAAGAATTTAACTTGGTCGTTGGATCGATGCTTCATGATATTTTTTACCAATCAAATATTTATTTAGAAAGAAACACAAATTGACTAAGTCTAAAGGACTGTCTCTTACAAAATTAGACAGTTGATACCAGAGATGTTGGTGGATTGTCCCGTTTTCATTCAACCCGCCTGACCCGTGGACAAGTTGAACCTTTGACGGGTCTTGGGTTCACCGGTTTCACGAGCTGGGTTATATTTTTACGTGTACTCGCAGGTTCAACCTGTTTACAAATTTTGCTTTTCATTAGAATAGTTCAAAATTTCTGCATTGATTTTCTTTTTGATGCAGCACTGTGTTGAAATGTTGTAGAGACTTTATTGATTCTTTTTGTTAGAAAGAGCAAAGTATATAGTAAAAAAATATATTATAGAATTCGATTGGGAATATTAATCAAACACCAGAAAATGTTGTAAACAAAAGGATTTGAAAACTCTTCCGCAACTTTTGTTTTAGCTTAGAAGAGATGTCATCGCATTAGATCAATTATATGTACATTCGTCGAATTCAAGTTGTACAAGATAGGGGTATATAGCATTGTTGCTGTAAAAAAAATTCTACACATTTTATAACAGTCAAAATACATGAGTTTATTCTCTTTTGGCATCGTTACTTGTCATTTCTGTTGATTAAAGTGGTAAAAATGAAGTCTATTGCTATAACCTATAGATTTTATATCAAAAATAAATTTTATGCAGTTCTCTGCCAAATCATATTACTTGAAACAGGATGAAGATTCTCTATGAGAGGCATTAAGTCAAACATTTTTTTTTTCCTTTGAAATCTCAAATCGACCAAATAAAGTTTTTAAATGACATCATCTTCTATACATTCTCTTGTATGCCAGACCATTTATTTTAATACTATATGAAAGTCTTTATTATAATGTACTGCTGTATACATAACATATTTTAGAAGACCGACAGTGGATAATAAAGCAACTCAAAGAAATATCTTCTAATAAAAAAAAATATTATCAGCTAATTTTCAGAAGAGTTTTCTGATGTTTTTGTTGAAGAAATTTTCTAGCCTTTGAAAAAATTTCCCATCTAATACTTGTATGTATTTTTGCTATAGATACTATGGTCTTTCTAACAAACGAAATAAAGAAGTGTACGACATTCTATCAGAGTTCTGTATAAAAAAAATATAGAATGTTGACATCATCTGTCCTAAATGAGATTTTCTCTCAAGTTTTGATCACAGAATGTAGGAGAAAAGAAGAGTGGCGCCTACGCTACCTCAAACAACATCTATTCTATTAATATTGTATATGTGATCGTATTCTGTTACTTTTATGTCAATATTTCTTGTCTTGAACTTTAATTGAGATTTTTTGTAATGCTTACACATATGGTCAGAAGTAAAAAACAATATTTTAATTATATAAGTCTTAGTTTTACAAGTAAAAAACGAATGCATCAGTAAAAAACTAATGAATTTGTAAGTAAATATTATACGAATAAAGTTTTCATTAACCCGCGAAGAGCTCGTGACGGGTTGATGATTCTTCAATCCATCATGAGCTGAAACGGGTCAAGAAAATCAACGACTAACATCTCTGGTTGATACACAGGCTTTATATTTAGAGATAAAGTACTGTTTTACAGGTATTCTAAACTATAATTTCAACTTGCGTGTATTAGGTATTTTTCAAAATTGCTACTTGAAAACATAATCTCTGTGTTCTTTTTTGTGTTCTAAAAAAAAACCATAAATGTCAAAGAGTTATTTACAAGTAGATATCTAAGTGATTATATAATCATGATTAAGATGTACATATTTGCACAGTCAACAATTCAAGTTTTTATCTTTCGAAACTTGAAATTTATAACATGTAATCGAATTAACAAGCAATCGTTTCTTGAAAATCTATGAATTTGTATGATGGACGCTACACAAGATTGAACAAAAATGTGAGGTACTGGGTTAGACAAGTGGAATGAGAAAAAAAAAAGATCATTAGTGCAATCATCATTATTATTCAATTTGATGTGTAATTATATTTATTGTACAAGAAGACTCGAATAATAATAGTCTGTTCATTAAAAGTATATTTGTACAGATAATCTGCAATCTATTATAAGACGAGCAGTTGTCAGTCAAAGTTATTCTACAATCAACTTTGACTTTTAATTGTTGATTATTAAAATTGAACTTGTTTTCCTTTACTCTTGATTGAACCTGATGTTCTAGTTGAATTTTGAATTATCCATTTAGGTCTATACAAAAGATCATTCCAGATATTCAGATCGATCAGATTCTTCATCTTACTATATGTTTTAGTAACCAATTATGTACTGTATTTCTCAATAACATAGAATTATTCACATTCAATAATACTACATGTAATCGTTTACATGAGTTTCTCTTACATTGTTTCGATTTTTATGGTTGAGCAAATATATCTTGTTCACGTATAGCTTGTTTCCAAAAATGCAACTCCACTATTAACGACGATTCTGTGCATTGTTACAGATGAAATATGCATTGATAAATTCTAAGAAGACGAATATCCGTCTTTCTATTATGCTCAAAAACTTAGTTCATTTGAAATAATCTATGATGCTTTTACTGAATTATTGCTAATAATTATCGATGGTCAAAATCATACTAATGAAACTGAATGTGAATAATGATTTTACAATAATACATATACATATTGTGATGTTATTTGGCATCGTCTCAATCGAACTAATGAAATAAATTGTGATTCTTTACCATTGATAAATTTTCTATTATATCATCGTATATGTATATCATCTCGAAAAAATCCATTTATGTATTTATCTGTTGGTGAAACCAACGATGGTAACGTTGATTGTCTTAGTGCTATGAATGAACCAATACTTTGCCGATCTATTGATAATAAATTTAAATTAGAAACTTTTTACTATCATAATGGTAGATTCAAGTCATGTATATCATATCGAAATTTGTGTAATAATTACAAAGATTGCGAATATGGAGATTGTGGACAACTTTGTGATATTACTTGAAACTTGACAACATATAAAAATATATGTAACGAAAGATATAGATTGATTCGGATTGTATATTTCTCTTTGAATCCTATTGAAAATTCGATAAAAAAACAGATTAAAATGCAATTCTACCAAACTTGACTATGATTCAAAATATTCATAATTATCAACAACGTTGTCATCATAGTCTTGATTTACAAGTTTGGTTAGATGATTAAAAAAAATTAAACAACAAGAATATGTCTTTGTCCATCTACGTAGTTTTTATCGTAAATTTATGTCAATATCAAAATCAACGAGTTAGTCTAACAATACAATTGCGAACATTTATCTGATTCTTGGCAAATATCATTTATTATTATTATTATTATTTCACTTATTGATAATAGTTATCAAAGAAAAACTCATTCATATCAACAATGAAAAACGATCGAACAATATTTAATATTTATTTACTTTATACAAATCGATCTTAAAAATCTTTCAAAAAAATTATTCAATATATATTGATATTTATGTAAAAATTTCATTACCTTATCGAACAAGTTCATCTTCCAGCGTAGTAGTGTGATAGTTTTCATTGATACTTGCTTGAAATGATACAATAATTTAAAATTGCGAAATAACTTCTAATATCTACAAGTATTTCTGCTGTCATTTTTCAAGTCTTATAACATTCCGTATAATTTGTTTTGCTATTTAATAACACACAAAATGAGCGAAAATGTGGTGGAAATTAGTTATCATAGTAGAGATACCCTATCAAATGCAAAATAATAACAGAAGAGTTGAACAATGAATGGTTGATGATGATTTGAAATAGCACATATTAACCTTTTTCTCATCGAAATCATTCTAATACGAGTAAGAATTATCTGTACATGTGACTATTTAGATTTGCAAGACTTAGTAATGATAGCATCAGTTTTTATTGAACTTAATTTATTTCAATAAGTTAAAATATATGTATGCAGTGTTAGTAAGACTATGTAGATGAAAAGAATGAATAAAAAGAAATGGAAAAGTGTTCATAGTAATGATCACAACAATCATATATTTAGCACCAGCCAAAATTTTGAACCCAATAGGCTCCGTAAGGACCGCCTTGAGCATATCCGACGCCCAATGCCTTAAAACCTTTGTTCATCAGATTGGCACAGTGTCCTGGGCTGTTGATCCAAGCAGTGACTGTCTTTTCAGGAGTTTGATTGCCAGCAATATTTTCGCCACCGGCACAATTCCTCGCATAGCCTGCAGCTGCTATGCGATCAACAAAACTGCTTCCATCTTTACCTGTATGAGAAAAGTAGTTATAATAAAGCATGCTTTTGGCATGATTAGTTGCAGCGTTGCCTAATTGATTATTCCACTTAAGAGCCGATGTGGCGGGATACCAAGTCGAACCACAATACCGGCCCTGCTTCCGTGCTTGATTTGTTAGGTCGAATACACTTTGCTGATAAGAGTTGCTGGAACTTCGGCGTTCGAAATCTTGAACAACAATACCATCATCATCGTCTTCATCATTGTTACTAATCGATCTTAGTTCTTCACTAGAACTGAGCCCTGGCTCATCTATCGATTCAGCTGTGCCTAATATTGTACGGAGTTGTAAACGATGACCATTTGCTGGCCATGCATGGGCCAATTGTCCAAGACCCAAACAAATAAAAGCCCAAAACATCCACGTAGTCATTGTATAAATTTCACAAAACTTGACTAAATAAAATAGAATATTTTCAGATCTTTCCAATATATATATATATATATGCGTATTATAAATAGTGTACCTTGACAGTAGTAATGAAAACAGAATAAATATTCATATAAAAACAATCCTGCTGTTTGATCTATTTCACAAGTCAATCAGTAATAGATAAAAAATTCGAGAGGAGCTATTCATAGAATGTTAGAATTTGAATAGTTCGTTCTTTTTAATTTTTCCATTCATTCGATACGCATTTTGACATTTAGTTTTCGATCATACGAAGGATGTTGGTGTGGGTATGGATAAAGTGAAGTCAATACCCACACCTTAGAGGTAAAAGCAAATTATCGGATATTAATGAATAAGATCTTTGAAGAAGATCTATGAGAGAAAATTTGAACTATTCGTAGTCAACTCGTAAAAATCTTATCTCAAATATTCAAAGCCATAAACTAAGTTTTTTTATAGTTTTCACCTAATGTGCAATAATGTCTAACTTGAACAAAATTGATGTTCACTTAAGGGAACCATTCCTGTCTGAGACTTCTGGAAAACAGCTCATCAGAAAAATTTGAAACTCTCAGAGTAGATAGATCTCGATAAGTAAATCAGAAGTTGTCTTAGACTGAAAATCTCCAATTGCTTTCTCCTTGGGAGTATCGCAGTCACAATGGCTAAATATCACACTCCGCCCCCCCCCCCCCCTCAACTGCACTGTTTTCTCGCCCGAAATACGTCCCATACAGCTGAAATTCTTTTTTTTTTTACATATCCTAGACACTGTTTGAAGTACCAACGTTTTTCTTTGGTTTTATTTCAGTCCTCTAATAAAAGTTTCAGCTTGATCGAGCATACTGTACCAAACAAATGGATGTGATTCTGCACTTTTCTTGTGTAAAAACTGATTTCGAGAAAAACGAAAAATAAGTTTTCCTTTATGTGTTAGGACTTGTTTTCTCCAACTAAATTAATCAAAAACTGACCTCGTTCTGTGATGTAAGAGAAGGTTCATGATCCGTACTCTAACAACTTTTGAATGAGAAATAATCTTTATCATTAGAGGAAGTTTATATAGAATAGAATAATCGTAGCGTAAATACGCTGCTAGTGATTTTAAAAGTTAGATTTAATAAATGCATCAACTAACAATGAAGAGCACCCATTTATATGACATTTAGCAGAGGACCCTTCAGGACTGTATTAGTGATGAAAAATCAAAAATAGAACAATTTTGATTTTCATGACCGGAAAGGAGAGAAGAAGGATCCACTTCAGCCCGTATTTTTGTCGACAAAAATAAGCTATTGCTATTTTGTATCAATCGTACAGAGCCTAAATGAATTTCCTTCAGATCCAAGTATGATTTGAATCTCCAACAGAAATATCACTTACTTAAGATTCAGTTATTTTATGTGCTTGATTTTTTGTATGGCTATGATAAGAATATTTCAAGGTATTTATATACATTTTTCTCTTCGTATTTTTTTTTTCATTTACTTTTTCTTCAATACTTTCATTGGTTCTTTATATTTGTCAAGCCTGTTGATTACCAGCGGTACCACTGCAAGCCACGAACTGTATTGATACATGAAATTCATACAAATCACTCTTGATATGCTTTTTTTTAGACACACTTGTATAAAAGCAAACGTCAGGCGATATGACTTTTTCATATTATCATCATTTTGTTATGACATTTTCTAGACTCGTGCCATACGAAAAGAAAATATGCATGATATAGAATCATGCTATCTTTTATGTTGATAACTAAAGAGTTAGTTTTAGTTAGTTTAATGTGAGAATTATATAAAAAAAGATTTCGAATTTCCAGTATTTAATATTTTCTTTTAGTTCTCCGAGACAAATCTTAGTGATCTTTATTTATCGTGAAATTCTCTTCATAATATTAGATGTACTATGAAGATAGTTGTTTGAGTAACAAATTGAAACAAAAATCTTCAAATATTTTCCAGTACGCTTAGCCTTTCATTTGAATAGTATTACAAACTGCTTCGAAAATGTTAAAATTCCTATTCAGATACAATCTTCAAAGAGACCTTACATGCTAATATATTTGAAAACAGAACATTGACGACGGAACAAAATCGTGTATTCTAATGCTTTATTTCATATATTAGTCAGCAGTTATGGACTTCCCCTTAGTTTTCGCGCTATCCAAACGTGAACATTTTGACAGTCGTACACGATCAGGTACGACCGTATACAGTATAAATTATGACTAACGTGAACGACTGTGTACAGTTGCATACGACGTAGTATGCTATCCTATTTACGTATGCTACTTCTCATTCGTACTCAAATTGATCTAGAAAAAATAAAAATGATTCATTTTAGAATAAGTATTTTTGAATATACTGCTCGATGTAATCTAAAAGAAATGATAATTATTCATTTTAAATAAATACTTTCAATTCAATTTGTTGTTCAATTCCATATAAATAAAAGAAAATAACATCGTCTATTTTACAATAAATATTTACTGTTTAATCTGGTATTTCTTTAATCTACATAAGAAAAACAAAATTACCCGAATCACCATTAACTTACGACCAAATCCGATCGTGTACTACACTCGTCCACGATTGTCGTTTACGTTCATTATATACATTATCCGGGTTTGAATGTACGGCATCGTATACGTTCCTAGTATACGATGGCCGTGTATGACAATTGGTTGTTGTTGTCGTATTATGTAGCAGTATTGCAATCGGTAGGGTTGTTTCCTTACCAGTATAGGTACCGGTCTAAACCAGTCAGATCGGACTGAATCGATCGGTAGACTAGCATGAATAAATGTTCGTATTTGTTATCTTATAAGAGTGAAATTAATCTCTCGATTAGTCATACCTACCTTTGAATCACTACAGAAATCAGATGAGGCTTCTGTTTTACTATGATAGTGCTTTTGTGAAACATGATGGCCAACAAATGTTGAAGTATATAGCGAGAACATTGATCATATCTCCTCCAGCTTGCTCCAAAGATCGCGACAAACATGCTGATGTTCTTTTAACCTCTTGACAGACGGTGACCACGATTTCGATATGTCTGTAATAGCCTAGTGGATTTTCTGACATGCTGTTTTTTTGGTCCCATCATAGTCTGTTATAAAGTATGTGAGCTTCATTGTCAGACAGACTTGTATAAAATGGACTTAAATTAATACACTTGTGACATACGTACGGACTAGACTTGAAATAGATAAAAAGTTCTATAGAATAGCTTTGATATATCCATGGAGCATGATGAAGTACGAGTAAAGTAGGGAATTTTCGCTTTTCCCCCCTCGAATTCCTAAAATAGTTAAAGCAGTTCCATCACGTTTAATATTTTAATCTCATAAAGATTGTGCCGAAAGCTTTTTCTTCATTATCTGTTTCTATTAAGTTTTCTCTCGTTTGGAATCTATCGATGGACGTAAAATTTCATAGAACTACAACTTCTACATTAGCTTTGTACACTAATGAACTGTTTCTCATGGACATAAAAATTCTAAATCAACTGTAGATGCATTCGGCGTCTTTCAACAAGTTTACTTTGTTATCTCTTGTGTCTTTGTGAAAGATTCAGTATAAATAATACGAAATGAAAATAAATATATAATAAATTACAGTGGCAAACAATGATTTCATTTTGTTTCAATAATATAATCTGATACAGAAGTAACTTGATAAAATATATTAGGTGTATTTTGATGAATATTGACTTAACAGAAATATTCTAATCCATGCTTCTCCATAGAAATAGTGATTGATATCAGTAAAATTGGTTTGACAAGCACAAATAAACACAGCTAATTATTATCCATTATTCGAATAACAGATGGCAGAACGGCTATTATTCATGACTTGAAAAGAATAAACACAAAGGAAAGAAAATAAGTCTCGACTGTAATTAGAATCCAGGTAGTATCACGTCTAGTAACTAGTCAGACGCTATTACCAACTAAGCTATCGAGACACAGTCTTAACTCAAATTTAAATTCCATCTAAACATTTATTTCAATCTTTTTGAGTGATATTCCGAATAGAGACTTCCTTGTAAGAAGACTAACTCTAATCGACCTCGATAATTGAGGACTTGAAAATATGCCTGTCTATGGCTGTTGAATTAAATTATATATAATTATATATAAATGTATATGACAAGGCTTTTCTTTATTAATTATCCGAATAAAAGATGGTAAAATGGCTATTATTCATTATTGAAAAAAAAATTAAATAAATATTCCATTGAATTGAATTTGAGTTAAGATTCTGTCATGACAGGTCGGTTGGTAGAAGTTTCTGACTAATGTCCATTTTAGAGCTAAGTAGATGTGGGCATTTTTTTGAATAACTTTAAAACAAAAAGAGAGATAGAACTCAGATTTTTAGCACTATCTAAACTTGATATTGTTCTATCTTTTCACAAAGTCGACGAAAAATTTCAGTCACTTTTTTTTCTGAGATATATTCTTAGTTTTGAAGATAACCCTAATTATTTTTGAAAACAATATGCTTTCTCAACTATAATATAATGGATAGATAGCCTAGCTTCTCCTCTATCGATCCACGTAAGGGCGAACTCGCTAACTATTTGTGTTCTAAAAATGTGAAGATTATACTGAAGACTACTCATTAAATTTCTTCAAAATCTGAGCAGTTAACAAATACTTTCTTCTATAAGTTTTTAGTCGTCTTTGACTTTATGACATGATTTATTAACCTTCGAATTTTCTTTTTCCACTAAAAACGTCATCAAACAAAAAACATCCATT